TCACAAAAATCTATGCAGAACTTCTGAGAACTGAAATAATTGCATTTCTGATGCACTGTTCTGAGAGGGTTTTCTTTTTCTAATGCAGAATCTTAGGTGTCTAACAGCTGATGTACCTCAGAAATGGTATTTAAAATCTTTAATAACTCAACGGTTTGAGAACTGATACTCCTGATGGATTTGTACAGCTCTAAAACTGTTTTTTTAATTTCATTTTTATTTTTTCCCTTAATATGTTCAGGACTAGCTAAAATATGCAGTGAGGTTCTGTTGACTTTTGAAAGGTTCTGAAAACTTGAACTGTTCTGTGTTCTCACAGGCAGCAGTGTACTGGGGAGGGTGATCTGTTACACAGCTTACTGAAACATTTCCAATAAATATGTGGCTAGAAACAGTCATTTCAAGAAACCTGATTCAGATCTTTTTGTAAGTTGTAGAGGATCGAAGGCTTCCAGGTGCTGTGGTTTCTTGGGCATTCTCTCCTTTTGTGTATTTCTAATCTCTCATACATGGCATTGGGAGCTTCAGACTCTTGCTTGAGTTGATGTTTCTTTCACGGGTATAGTGTTGCACATGGGCCCATCTGCAAATGAAGTGCTTGTATTGGAAACCTACACAGCTCTGTTTAACGAAATATTTTTTTTTAGCTGTTTCTTTTGAAATGAAAATCTTCCCTAACTTCTGACTTGCAGAAAATTTTCAATACATCACTCCAAAACTTTTCATGTTTTAGTCTTTAGAAAAACAAACTACTTTAAAATCTTCTCAAATGTCTTAAGTACTAAAATCACAAATTGAACAACTTTTTGTTGTGTTCATTTGTTGCTAGTGCTTGAAATCTAAGTTTAAGTACTTGATAACTAAGGAGAAGTACATCATATATCATTACTGAGTATGCTATCTCAGCAGATTAGTCTTCATTTAAAGAAAATGAATATACATTTGTATTGAAATACTTTTTACGATGAAATGTTAACCTCTCTTTAGGGTGAAATGTTAACCCAGCCTTTATTCAGATAACTCAAACCCAACATAAATATAAAAGTTGCACACAAATGCTTAGTTATTAGAGGTGTAATATTTTAATGAAGCACATTTAGCATTCAAAGAAAGTTGAATCTAAAACTTTGAAAAAGCCTTTGGTGGTTGGTGGGTTAGCTGTTTATAATTTGAACATACTCATTTTACATAGAAAATTGTAGATGAAAAGCACTAGTGAAAAAGTCAACACAAAAAAGAACCCTAATTAATTGCTAATAGTTAAATAATGAGTAGTGGACTGATAGTGAAGGCAAAGTCCTTGCTGTTGATTTAATATCAAGGTGGCAATGGTGTATGTATAGTCTTGTTAGAAATTCTTCTGTCTCGGTCAGTATAGGTTCTGTTTTCTCATTAGCTGAACAAGTGAGGTCCTGCTATCCTGTCTATGGAAGAAACTTACGTATAATATTTAACCAGTAGTTGCACCAATGTCTGTAGGAGTACTCAAGACAGTAAAATTACAAACAAAATGTGTATGTGAAGCTTTTTCTTTGTCACTGATCCTCACATTGCATCTTCTGACCAGACTCTTCTTCAGTATTCCTAGAGTTTAGTGATTTATATGTGAAAGTTGATGATTCCTCAGAGTTAAAAATGAATGTTAATTTCATATAGTTTAACAAGATAGCATAAAGCTGTATTTGCAATGCATTTCTTCACATATAAGCAGTGGGCCTTCTATTAGTAATTCATAACAAAAGCAGTACTCCTAGTATATTGTAATGCCATGCCAGCATCATACTTCCATGTCATTACATTCTGCCTTGAAGTCTGCTGCTACTGTTGGTCTTCAGTGCACCATGATTAGACAGCTCTGACACAGCCCCCTGTGTTTTTGGAAATAAAGCTAAATTCTGTCTTTGATCCTGTCCCGATCCTATATCGGGGAGGGTTCTTAATCTCAAGAGTGAGATTAAGACACAAATGAGGTCAGATGCCGTACAACCTAGTGAACTTTATTGTACACACAACTGATAACAGCGATAGGACAGAGAGGAAAAGAAAGGAAAAGTCAGAATCTCTAAGCGAGCAAATAGTAGAGATGCAGCGAGACTAATTACCACCACCACGAGTCCAGCAATGCCCTGCTGGCTCAGTCTCAGTCTCAGTGCATGTGGTGGTGCTTCAGCTCTGCTGCAGTCCCAGCTCCAAGGAAGGATGAGATGACAAGAGTGAATAGTGCTCATGAAAGAGGAGTACACAGTCCTTTTATGTCCCAGTCCCTGCTATCTCTCCAAAGAATCCCTTCATTTCCATGGAGCTCATTATAATATGTGCCGCCCCATGGTCCTGTGCCAGCCTGAACATGTCATGGTCCTGTCAGAGACAATTCATCTCCTTCAGAGCGTACTCCATGGCGACAGGATGCTGAGGCCAGGAACTTAGACTTACTTATGTGTGATGAACTATATTAAGAAAAGAACTAATTTCCAGACTCAGATTTTTTTTTTTTTTTTTCTTGTACTTAGTAGGATGTCCCTCATTCTGACAAATGTCTTTGTATAGGTTATGAAGAACAGCAGCCAAGGAGCAATGGTTAGGACACAGTATGCTTCATGCTTCAAAAGCTGGAGGTTGTCTAATTTTTGCTGATCCTAGTGAATAGCCATTCTCTCTTCCCATGCACGTGCTGTTTGGCAAGCAGATAACTGACCTTACACTAGAAGCTGAAGCAGCTCAGTGGAGGCTCTCAGATAAATTGCATACAGCTAAACAGCTGATATTCTGATCGTGTTTCCCAAACCAGAAAGATGTACTGAAGTTGTGGTGAAGCAAGCCTTCAAGTCAGGCAGGCCTGAAACAAAACTTTCATTTTCCTGCACTCAGCATGCAGAGGGACCATGAAGGGTTCTGTATCTAAAATGTAGCTGTACATAAGAGCAAGGCAACTCCTTAAATAGTCAGTTTAAAACTGGTGGGGTGAGACAGGTTAAATAGAGATGTGCCCTTGCTCATGGGAGGAGAGGGTCTCTTCTGCCAGTACTGCTTTCCAGCCTAGCAGCTTTTGTGGTCTGCCTTGCACAAACCCAGGGACTGTGTCAGTGAAAGGCCCCATGCCCTTTCAGAGACCCACTGGCTGTGGGTTCTTGTTTGCCACTTCCTCATTCTCAGTCGTGGCTGTCTTTCATTCCTTTTGCTTTTTATTGTCTAGAAAATAACTAAACTTTCTCTCAGTCTTTGAGGGTTTTTCTGGCCCAGAAGGTGAGCTTAGTCAGAGAGTCTTTCCTGCTGTCCAGTCCCACAGTCTTTCCAAAAAACGACTATATACAGTGACTTGTGAACAAATGTCTATCCTCTATTGTTAGGTGAATTGGTATCTAATTTAACTGAAAGATTGAACTCTAAAATCATTACTGTCCTTCACAGAAAATAACAATGTAATATCTTGTTTCCTTTGTCTAATTTTGACAGGATGTGTGTGTATTTGTAATTGAAGATGTGAAAATGAAAGTAAGTAAACTAGGTGCAAACGTTTTCTGGAAGAGCAATAATAGAATTGCTGACGCTAATAGAATTTAATCATCCACTGTTGTTACCTAAATGAGCAAGAAAAAAAGGAAACCCTAATCCTTCCTGCATATTCCCCCAAACTTGTTTTACAGTTTGGGAACTAATCCATCAATGCTGTTATCTATGCAAAGAAGGTGAAATCTCTGCTGTTCAGCTGATTATAATGGGACTGTCTTAAAAAGTATCACCTTGATTGTGCTGGTTGCATTGTACTTGAGTCTTTCAAATTGCAAATCTCAATGATTATGTGCCTAGTAGTGCTTTTAACACTTTCTGGTTTGCTTGAACATAATTTATAGCTCTTGTATTATGCCTTCACTCACAAATTATGCAGGTGGTTGTACTGGTTATCATCACAAAAGACATTTGCTGTCTTTCTAGACACAGAATAGTGACTGTTCATTACAAGTAAAATATGGATTTATTTTTTTAGTATTATTATTATTTTAATTTACATGGACTCTTTGGAAATTAGTTATGATAGGGAGTTCCTCCACTTGTGAAACGCTGCAAAATACAAAAATGTCAGGTCTGATCTTCCATGTGAACTATTTGGGCAAGAGTCCTGACTTATTATACTTTCAAATATTTGTAGTTAAAGTTTTAGAGGTATCTCCAGTAACTAGTTTAAAATTGCTATTAGTCATGTCAAGTCTTTAGTGTGGCTCCAAAGTATTGTTATTTTGCTGGATCCCTTTTATTTGTTTTCTGTTTGTTTTGTTATGTTTTTTGTTTTTTTTTTTATTTTCAAAATATTGTGCTGGATAAAAATTGTTCTAAAATTGAAAGTCCAGGATAATCTCAACTGCAGCTTTTCCAGATGAGAATGTGGTGATAAGCACTGCACTTTCCTTCCTGGTGGCTAGTGAGCATCTTGTAGGCTAGTCCTAGGAGGGATGATGACATTTGGTCTTTCCAGGTGCTGCTGAAATGTTTAAGTACTTAGTAGAGCTTGTGACATGAAACATTAGCCAGCTGTTGCTATTCTGTTTTGTCCCTTTCTTTTCATTTCTTATCCTCCATTATGTGTGCAGCTTCCACTTTTTAAAAGCTCACTTTACTGAAAAAGTCATAACTGATAAAAGCTAGTATTTTGGGGTCTTATTTCCAGCTAATATCAAGTCTTTAGTATTTGATATTTTTTTATTTATAGATGAGACATTTTTATTTATAGGAGAGAGGATGCGATATGTGAAGTGAGGAAGAATGTCAAACAAAAGGGGTTAAGCTCTAGGAAGGTAGAAGTATAATACGTGTCTTGGGAGTGAGAGGAAAGTGAAGGTGGGTATCGAAAGAAACTATTTTAAACTGTTTTTATTTCCATAAGTGGTTTGTGGGTTGTTTTTTTTTGTTTTGTTTTGTTTTTTGTTTTTTTTTAAAATCTTCTAGCACTGGGAAGTCTAACATTTGATCTGCGATGGATATCTTTTTTTCCTTCCTTCTAACAGGTCGTGACAATGCATGTGAGAAGACTTCATACATGTTTCTGCGGAAGGAACTTCCTGTGCGACTAGCTAACACCATGAGAGAAGTCAATTTGTTGCCTGATAACTTACTTAACAGGCCTTCAGTTGGGCTAGTGCAGAGTTGGTAAGTTTAAAAAAGTGAAATAAAAAATCAGTGTAAAACTAACACTATGTGATGTTTTACTTGCAACTCAGCTTGAATTGTTGTGAACTGAAGTCTGTTTTCTGCCATGAATTGTTTATAATGTGTGTTTCTTGTCCAGTGAAACTTCATTATCTTCTGTTTAATGTTAAAGTAAATATTCTAATATGGATCTTGGAGATAAGAGTCTTGTAAGTTAGTAAAAGCATACTGTTGTGTCCCAGATAATTAGAATCTGTCAAAAACTTACAGGAGTGAGCTTTTTAAATATTCCTTACTGTATTGTACCCATGACTTCTTGAAATAGCTGTTCTTTAACCTTATTCTTCCTTTGTCAAAAATACTAGTGTATATCCAAAGTGATTCAAAGTTCTGTCATCTTTGCCACAGTAGTTAATTTCTAGCCTACTTGCATGTTCAGTGAGTTTTGGAGACTACTGCCTTGTATGTGTTAAGCTCTAAAAATTTTTGTTCATGGGGTATTGTCTCTCTACCTTCAAATACTTGATCCACAGAATTTATGTTAAAAAATCTTTGCAGTATACAACAAACTTCCCTTTGTGAATAATAGCATATATAACTGTAACGACAGCTACTGTTACAGGCTTCTGTTAAATTCAGTCATAGTCCTTGAGCCAAGAAATTCCATGTTGACTGTGCATTGACTGCTGGGTTTGGTCTCATATTTATCAAGCTTCAGACTTAGAAAATATAAACTAGGATAGGTGATATTGTGTACTTTGGTTTAAATATGTTTGTCTTTGCAAGGTAATACTAGCTGTGTTGATGACCACTTCAAACATAATGATTAAGTGCTTCAAATAATTGTAAATGCTGTGGAGCCACACAATAACAATCACTTTGTGGTTAAGTGGCAACTTGCAAGGTTTGAAGTCTTCATCTGATGTTATGGAAGCTGTTATGGCAAATAGGAAAGAGTAGATAATATGCAGGCCTTTTAGGCTTTTCTGATCTAGATGACTTGTGAAGCTGTCTTTAGTGAAATGTGGACAAATAGATGAATGAAGAAAAGGAAGTAATTCTTCTGAAGTGACTCTACAGCATAATTCTAGTCCAAATATGTGTTCTGTGGCATATGCTTCTTCCCTGCTAATATAGAGTCAAGCAACATTTGGATCACTTCTGGCAAAGGAAATGAATGGGTGTTTAGACTGGCTGCCCCCTTCAGAATTTTTGCTTAGAGGTTTGAGGACTCATGGGATAACTTCAATATCTACCACACCAAAAAGATCACTCTCAAGTGTAGTAGGATATATAATGATTGTAAGATACGTGTCCAAATTCTGTATTTTATATGTTAATGTGATTTGCACTACCACAGCTGTAGACTGATAGTTTTCTGCTAAATCATCCAAAATATCAGATTTTAACATGATGAAGTTCAAGTGGATATCTAACACAGAGATGGAAATTTGAAATCAGAATGTTTGTCATAGTGTTCTTCTAACTTTGATTCTCAGTTACCTAACAGCTTTTGTGGAAAGGAATATCTTCACTGAGATAATATAAGAGTATTTTTGTGATCTTATGTTAGAAGTAACAAAAGTAACTGTAGCATGTTGTTTTCCTGATTATAGATGTGGACTTTCTGTTTTTCTGTTTAGAGGCTTTTAATTGCTTTTTTAATCACTTACCTGTGGATTATAAATCCTAGTTAAATACTGATGATGGACTTTGGGCAAAATTTACTGGATCGATTAGCTTCAATAAAAAGATCAAAATAAAACAGTTTTATTAACTTCGGTGTGAATGACCTTGAGTATTACACAGCTATGCTGATAGCAGGCTTTGAAAGGTATTTATCATTTCTTCACCTAAAGTTCAGACATAGCTAGAGAGTGATTTCTGAATTTTGTGCAGTAGAATAAATAAATATAAATTTAGCTGTTCTGTGAACTTGTAAAATTAAGAAACCTCTTATTGACACGCTTGTTTGATACTTCAAGAAAGAATTTCTGATCAGATTTCATGATCCTTTATTAGGTTGAGGAAGCTTGACAATTTATCAGTATACAAACAAAAAAATCTGATGTACACTTTCAACAAGTGAGCAAAGACATAATGTATTAGCTTAATCTGTTTATTTGCTAATTTTCAGTAATTTATGTGTAAATACCAACATATTTATGATTTATGTATGCTACCACTTTGCACTAGAAGCCTGTGTTTTCATGGGCTTTTGGTGAGATTCCAAATGAGCTGGAGCTTTAAAATTCGAGTTCCTAGTCTATTCCTTAATGTCAGCACACCAGAAAATAAAAAAGCTCCTAATCTTTAAAAAAGGTTCTATTAAAGTTAGAATAAGGTGGCTCTGTAAATAGATGGAGCTTAGGTTTGGTGGAGAAAGAAAACAAATTAACCCTACCTGCTGTACTGCATGGATACTTTCCTGTCAATTCTCTGTCCAGCTAGGCAGTGACATTATGGATTGCATGAATTTCCTAGTCCCTTGTAGGTCCCTTGGGAAGCAACCTCATCCTTTCACTTCTGAGTATTCTCAGAAGTATTTACATCTTTCATGTCTGAGTATTCTCAGAAGTGCTGAGTGTTCTCTGCTGCAGGCAAGCCCTGTTCTCTTCTAGGTTCTCTAATCCATCTTCATGGTCATGCTCCTTAGCTGCACTGTGTTTCTAACAGATTTTACAACTGATAGCTTCATTGATCTCAGGAAAGGTGCTTTTTTTTTTTTTTTAATCCTTTCTTTCTGCATTCTTTAGCCTGATGTGTGCAGCAATGAGGATAGGTAAGACAACTGTCCTTCCTTTGTGCTACTCAGCTACGCTTTTCTGAACAAAGCTGGTGTTACCCACAGAGTGAACTCTGACCAAAAAAAAATTTTGCATTTCAGCCTGTGCAAAGGTAAAACATTAGCTCTGTCCCAGTTCAAGTTTATAACAATTTATGTGCACGTTTTCTGTGAAGTCACAAGGCGAGGAATAAAGTGAATCAAAATAATAACACAGTTAATATATTCTGGCTGTTGAGCTGCAGTGATTCCAAATAATAGACAGATCAACAAGAAGTGTGCTAGGGATCAGCAACTTATTTTCAGTTTTTCAAAATTAACAGACAGCTTCCTAGTTCCAAAGAAGTAGGCCTTTTTTAGGCCAGCTTTGAGAGGGCCATCCCTAGCTAAAGTGCACTGCAGATAGGATATTGAACATGTGGCAGCATTGCGTAATGAAGAATATCATTACTAAGGCTATGTGATAAGGGAGAATAGTTACAGTAAAACCTTAAAATGGATAAGGTCAGCGCTTGTAAAATATCTAAAGTGAGTATGAGGTTTGCACAGTATGCTGCTCAAAATATCTAAAATTCATGTTTTAATTAACCCTGACCAAATTTCTCTACTTTTCTTTAGTACTTTTTCCCTGGAAAAGGCTATACATTTCCATTTATCTCCTTGGAAAGACTCATTTGAGAAATCAGTACAGTTTGGGGATTAGTAATTGTTTTTTCTCTATTTTTTACATTCAGACTATGCTAACAAGATTGTGTTACCATGGAGATATGTTTTATCTTTTCAGTGCTTAGGCATTAGAGAGTTTCTAAAGGAAAATCTTAGTGAAATAAACATAGGGAAAAAGCAAAGGTAGCTTGCATGAGTGTGGAAAAAACCCCAAAACAAAACAAACTCTGGAGCTGACATTATGGGCATTTACAATGATTTCATGTATGAGATGTGTCATTCTAGAATTAGTATATTTGGCAAACTAAGAAGAATTCAGTCTACCTGGCAGTAATTAACATAAGAACAAGTCTGAAGAGGGTGCTTGAAACCAAAGAGCTTGCCCAGTGAATTGTAGTGGTTTGTGATTAAAAAATTAAAACACCAGCAAGACAACAGATTTGAAGGGCATAGGCTTTCATTTTTGCTTTTGATGACTCACTGAAGATAGCAAAATATAATTGACATACCCTTTTTTGTCTGTGCTGGTGTTTTTTTTCTAAACTTGTGTCTGTAGTTGTATCCATTTACTAATAATATAGAAAGTCATCCATTATTCTGGTAGTGTTTTCCTTTATTCTAGCTGGCTGGTAATAGTGTGTGAAGTGTGTTTAAAACATCACAAGGTCTTGCTTTTCAGTGCTTGATAAATCCTGTAGTTGCCACCATCATTTATCCATATCTGCACCCACAGTTCAAATAAAAAAGAAAATTCAAGGAAATAAATGAATAGTGTGAAAGGGGAATTGACCCTCTTTACACACACTAGCTATTACAGGAGTGAACTGCATCACTGACTGCTCACCAATAGGCAGAACGTAATGTTGGTGGTAGTTAAGAAAATGTTATGAATTATTTATTACAGCTAACCAGAGTTATAAATTCCCTTTTAAACAAGTTTTCATTTAATTTCTTTAATTTTGAGGTGTTTGGGAGGGAGTGGGGTGGATGAATTTTGTGTAAAAACTGGAAATTACAAGTGGGTAAAAGACGTACAGCATTTGCAGCTCTCAGTTAATATCTTAGATCAACATCCCAGGTTGGGTGCCATATAGTGGTAGGCATTGGACAGTAGGTTAGATTTTTGTTGTAAGGTTGCTTTTTTCTAGCTTCATTTAGTCAAGGGATTGAAGGAAATATGAGCAATTTAGATTTTAAGTTCATAACCTTTTCTCTGAGCTGGTCCCTCCAACTTGCTGGATACGGTACTTGTGCTAATGAACTTGACCTCTAAAGTAGTATCAATTAGAATCAGAAAAAGACATCTAAATATTGTTGATAACCCTATCTAAAGCAAAAGCATTGCATGTTTCCATAGTTTCTGCATCACCACAGAGATTAAAGAGAAATTAGCATATTTATAAATTTCCTTAGAGCATATAGTTTGTGTAATTTTCTTTTGTTTCAGAAACGCTTAGTTCCTCATTGGTGCTATTTGAGCCTGCAACATAATGACCTCTAAAGCTGTTTTGCCTGCTGGTTATGCTGAAGACTAGTGACCATGTTTGGCAGCTTTTTTCTGGTTGAGACCTGCTTTACTCTTTTTCTGACTGAGACAGTTTTATGCACAATTACTTCCTGCATTAGATGAAGCACTTGGCTTGCCCTTGCCTGATACTCCTAGTAAAAGCACTGATCCTTCAACACAGGAGTAGTGATGTTTGATTATTCCAGGAACTGCAGTCTTGAGAACAATATCCCAATAAGCTAACAGAGTATGAATCTCAATACAACATACCAGTAATGGTAGGCAACAATCAAATCCACACAGCAAATAAATCAAGTACCGCCTGCTGTCAGTACCAGAAATACTAATTTCTGTTTTATCCTCAGCATTAGCACAGGATTGCTGATGTTTGAGATTTCTGGTAGGAGGTCTGTAATAAAAAGTACTTGATGTGTTGCTTCTGAATTGTGGTGGTTCTCCTGGATCTTCAGAAGCAGGACTTTTGTAATATTGTATGATGACAGATGGGGGTGAGCAGCTTCCTAATAACCTCCTCTGACTTACTTTGTCACAACAGAAGTTGTCACTTCTTCCATGACACAGATTTATTGAAGCATCTTTCATATGGGAAGAAGCTGAGAGAGCACAGTATCTCCTTAGAGATATTCAGCAAGCTGCCTGGACTGTTCAGTCTGAAGAGGAGCAGGTTTGGGGACTAACACTAATAATTGTGTATTATCAGTGTGTATGAATACCTAATGGGCCAGAACGAAGATGGTGAAGCAAGACTTTTTTTCAGTAGTGCTCAGTGATAGGACAAGAGGCAATGAATACAAATTAAAGTACATGAGATTCCATCTGAACATAAGAAGAAACTTTTTTACAGTGAAGGTGATCAGATACCCCAAGAATTTTGCCCAGAAAGGCTATGGAGAAATAGTGGAGATTTTTGTGGAGATTTTTCAAAACTCAACAGGACATGGTCTTGAACAGCCTGCTCTCGCTAACCCTGCTTGAGCAGGGAAGTTGGACTAGATGATTTCAGGAGATACCTTTCAACCTAAACAATTGTGTGATTTTGAATTTCCTTGGAGAGCTGGCTTGCAGCCCTTGGTGTTCTGGGAAGGCAGAAAGGGCTATTGTTCCCTTTATGGAAACTGGTGTAGAAGAGTGGACTGGAGGTGCAGGGAAAACCAAAGAGAGGGCAAGGAAAAAAAATAAAGGCCTTGCCAAAATAGGGAGGATGGCAACAGAAATTAAAGTAGGAAGGGAAAGGATTTCAAACCACGAGGAAGGTTTGAAAGGATGGGAGAAGGGAGCATAGTTAGAGGGGTGGTTGTTGGCAAACTTGCTGACACCTACAGCATTTGGTCTTTTATGTAATAAGAGAAACAGTTTACAGTGTGGAGGGTACTTCTGACAGTCCATAGTCTGCCTCCTGGCATGTATTGTGCCTGTGCTGGAAAAATCATAGTGTTTTGGCCTGCTTATTGGTTCAGATCGTGATGGCTGACTTGTGCATCAAATGTGTGAAACCCATCTGCAGCAGCTTCTAGTTTAGTTTCTTCTGAAAAGAACTTGATTATTCTGAGAAGTGCCAAAACTACTCTGCAAATAAAAGCAGTGTGGATTAAAGAAAGATCGTTGAGAGATTCATTTCAAAACCATACCACAGGTTTAGATTTGGAAATAAAAAATGCTGATGTAGACAAAGTCATTGTGTGGCAAGTTATCAACCTGTATTTGAGGAATAGAATAAGATTCCTTCACAGAAATTATGCAGGTACTTTTTTGGTGGATTGCTTTTCCCTGTAGAATCAAATAAATATTGTGCATGATTTCCTTTTACTGCACAAAAAAAAAAAAAAAAAAAAAAAAAAAAAAAAAAATTAAGACAGAAAATATTTATTTAATTACAATGGAAGACCTTAGCTTGCTTGTATATTATGACCCACAGCATGAGAGAACTAGTCCAGTCTGACAATGCTGGTGGTCTTAAGTCAAGTTACATGGCTTTTTTTTCATTCCTAAATGTATTTGCAAGAAAAGTATCCCACATGAATGATACTCTTTTTTTTTTCTAGTTACAGGAAGAGTCCAGAAAGTCAGTTTCCTCTTTGAGACAATTATGAATTGAATGACTTAGATATATTCTCATCACCCATTGAGGAAATGGTGAAGGAGGTAGCAAAGACTAGTTGTGGAGTGTCACATATTCACTGGAGGCAGAGCAAAATTAGGTACAGGAATGGGTCTTAAGCATTGCTTCTGCATGACATAGCCTGGTTTAGTGAGAAGTCAAAAGCCCATTTTACTGCCTCTGTGGAGCTGAACTGATGCTCTGAGTTGCCTCAGTGCCCTGTTCACCACTTTCCCATCTTTCATTTTGGAGTTCCTTTGCTGATTGTTTATTACTGTGTTTTGCTTACTGTAATAATGGCACCTTTTTTTTTTCCATCCTGTACCCATGATTAACTTGGTTGACCTTGATTCATATGAGGCAAATGATGTTGAAGAGCATATACCTCTTTGAAACAAAGGAGTGAAGGTGATCATAGTTTGTTACATGTTGAGTCTTGCACATGAAGCAGCTGAGTTCAGACAGTAAAGCAGCTTTTTCCAGTGAGACTTAATAAAAGGGGAGTGTGTGCAAGGACACGTTCTTGAAGGAGATTAGTTCTCATTCACGCTTCCACTAACTCAGTCCTTCCTCCAGCAGGCAGTCCTGATGATTCTTCCTCTGCCCCTCTATTCCCCACATCAGGTGTACTGTTCCTGGATAGTTAGAACTGCTTCAGTATCTAACTGCTAAATGTTGCACTTTTCAGGAACTTACTTTCAGTGGATAGTGGGGCTGTGGCTGCTGAAGTTACTGCCTGTTCCCTGAAGTGACCTTAGACAATTTCTTGAATTCCTGGTTCTAAAGTGGTACTATCTCTTAACAGTGTAAAAGAACATGTTTTGAAATGATCAGTACTAGATATATCAGCTACTTCCCAAGCTTGTAACTGAGAAACATTTGAGGGATTTCTGTACTTATTTGTGATGGCTGCAGGAGGGCAAAACCAGAGGGGCAGGAGCTAGTGTTGCTGTGCTGACCATGTTGAAAATGTCAGTCTCCTGGGAGAAATGTTGCAGTGGCCTGAGATGGCTACAACTGAAATGGGGGGTGGAGTAGCATCATGTGATTGTGGAGGGAGTCACGCAGACAGTAGTGCTGTCTTAAGCTTTGCTGTAGCTTGAAGTAGGATGAAGTTTCATAGCTTAGGTCAGTCTCATAGGTGCTGAGTTTATGCGTAGACTCTCTGCTCAGCTGATCTAATGGGTTGTTGCTACTGAAAGGGGAAAGGCTTGGTCATTTGGTTTGCTTTTTCCTTATGTAAGCTTTATGGTTATCTTTTCTCTTTTGTGCTAGCTTTAGGTAGTTAGACCTTTCTATGAAGTGTTTTCATGTGCCAAGACAAACCTATCCAGCTGGCTGTTTTGCCGTTTTGTGGAGTTACAACTGTTAACATACACATCTGAGTAACACTGATGTTATAGTGTGACTGTGCTTAACCAGGGCAAAAGGGAGAAGAATCACAGCTCTTTCTGATAACACCGAAACTCTATCTTGTATGTGTGTGATTGATACCTCATGAGATTTTCTTCAAAAAACAGGTCCCAGTTCTGTAATCTTTAAAGTTGCATGTATACTGCTAAATGCACCTGCTTCAAGGGGTGATACCTGGTCCTCAGACTCAGTGCTGTGATGTGGTGGCATTTATACGGGTGTTGGACTAGGTTCCTATAGAGCAGGCTGGCTGAGTTTGTGCTGAGTAATACTTTGCTTTAAATCTTTGAATCCCGTATGGTGAGTGTAGGAGCTAGGGAGCAAGCTGTTGTGCGAGAGTGGTGCTTTTATGAAATTGAGGGTTGTGTCATGCAGCCTGAAGTACAGTGTGAGAAGATGTGGGAGTGTGTGAAGGGGCGTACTCTTCTGGAGTACTGTGGTAGAACCAGCTTGGTACAGTCTTGTTAGCATGGCTTTTGGGGAGTGTTCCCTGGAGCTTTATTTTGGAAGGAAGGTTGGTTCGTTCTCTGAGGAAGGTGGGAGCAAACTAACACCAGGAAATCAAGTTACAGGGATGAACTAAGTTACCTGAAATTACAGACCTACCTGAAGAGAGGATTTGCTTCTATTAACTTCAGTTTGATTTATTTAGCAATTTTCCTGAATCATGGACTGTCATAAATACTTTTAAATTCAGTATATTATAGTTGTTTTTTTCTCTTTGCTGCTGCGTTGCTCTTCATTTTAGCTTTTGTAGAGAACTGTATGCTAAGCTTCTGTTTCAGATGAGGTTGTAGTCTTAAGATTAAAAAAACAATCAGAAGTAGTAAGTTTAAGTATTTTAACTCCTTTATCATTTTTGTTTATTTCAGGTACATGCAGAGTTTTCTTGAGCTTTTAGAATATGAAAATAAAAGTCCTGAGGATCCTCACGTTCTGGATGAGTGAGTAATTTGTTTTCTTATGATGGTTCACTTTAAAATAATCTGTGTCAAATAACAAGTGGTTTTGTACTATAGGATAACAGTGACCTTATTTGTAAGGTAGAATTTGTGCAGCAAAGGCCAAAATTGTGATCTGGACTGGAATATAGGAATCTAAGTGATTTTGAAAATATATTTTGCACTTCTACAATCTAATAGTTTAAGAAATGACATAAAATGCTTCCTCCAAGGCTGTATGGGGAAGACAACATGCATGTGAGAGTATACTTGCATATCAAATACTTATGACTAAAATGTCATTTTAGTATACACTGAACTTACTCTGTTGTAAATAATGTATATTAATACATTAATACTTTTGGGTTTTTTCAGTTTGAAAACATGCAATGTGTCAGTCTGGTTTAAGCTTCTTAAATGGACTTCAATTATTGGTGTTTATCTACCTCATTTAATGTTACTTATGTTCTGAGAAGAAAGGAAAGCTTAGGCAATTTATTTTATCAACAAAATAAAATTGTCCTTTGAATGTCTCCTTGAAATTTGTATGCATAAAGCAGACACCACACCACACCACCCCCCTAACATGTGAGAACAACAGGTGCAATATAGGCATCAGGGACTTGAAAGCAAAAAACCCAAACCAAACCCTTCCCTGCCATCACTAAGGTCTCTCATTACTCTGTACTGTATAGCTCAACTTTGTTACAGGGGATTACTTCTTGAAGTTTTTTGTTTGTTCCATTGATTAGTTTTTTTAGGGTAGCTTGTCTTTGAACCTTGAATTTCTTTCTAAGACTTTCTGGAAGTCTTGCCTGATCGAGCAGAGCTTTATAGGAAGTGTTTCATAAAACATCTCATAGTCCAAAAAATGCTCTGTTTCTGCAAGATGTGGCCTGTGCTGTGCAAAAATGGTGTTTTGTGTTCGGTTAGTTTCAGATACCTTAACTGCTATATTAAGTAAGGATTTTATTAGGTAATGCATTTTAGATGTTATGCTCTTTTGGTTGTGGGCACGTTATCTGAGATCTTTATGCTCTGTTTTTTAAGTATCAAGCAGTACATGCAGGAGAAATTCAAGTGCACGAGTACCAAATTCTCTGCATGGCAGAACTGTAAAAGGACTTTAGACTGTAAGGATTATAGACTGACTGAGTGAATTGCAGTGTTATTGAACAAGAGGGAAGTAACTATTATCTCAGTGTGAGTCCTAAGCTCGAATACTGTCTTCAGTTCTGGGTACTACCTATTAAGAAATTAAAACACATGTGGACGGTATTGATGTGAAAGGAACAAGAATTAGAGACTCGAATAGTTTCACCCCTGAATAATGCTGAGGGCATTTGTTTAGACTCGTAAAAAAGAGATTGAAGTGGGAGAAACTGGAAGTTTGTGCCAAAAAAAAGAAAAGTCACTGTAATACAGGATGATTGGTTGCTGTAAGTTAAGTAGTAGAGAATTAAAAAATGGCTGATTTTTATTAAAGTTGAGGTAGTACATGGGTCAAAAAGTACAAATTCTGATATTGATGAGAACAGACTGAAAAAGACCATTTTGGAAGGCTGTAGAGCATCACATTCTAAAAGCTTTTAAGAATAGATTAGATAGTGTTCAGTGATGTTTTAGGCATGCTTTTTCTGTAGTGGATAAATTAGATGAACTTTTTCACTACATCTAGCTGTTAAATTTTGTGATCCTTTATTTACAGCCTGCTTGCTGATGGGACAAAGATTTTTGTTGGTGACTAGTTTAGCAGTCTACTGCTTGACTTAAAAGAACATTTTGAGTGGGATTAAGTTACCAGAGTGTAGGTCTGTTGCTTTTTGAGATGGCATAAGATGTCCTACTCATCTAAGCGAGTCTGGCAAGTGTAATATGGGTCTTATTAAGCCTATAATGTTGTAGATGTTCAGGTGGGGGCAAGGTGGTTATGTAGCTTCTGGTACTTTAATGTTCTATTTTTAGGCAACAGAATTTCAGCTTTTTATGGACTTCAGAGATTCAACATAAATCACACTATACACACTTTTTAAAAGGTTTATGAACATTAAGTTTTCTTGGAGATCTGTTTTTAGAGTCTGTTCATGATTGTCAAATGAATTATTTAATTCTGCCATATGTATAACATGCATCCTTGATACTGTTTCATGGCCATTAGAAATATTGTTTGAGATGCTCTATATTAATATGATACACCAAATACTTGCTGAACCAGATATTTACTCATTTAGCATAACTGTTAAAATCTTTTGGAATCTTGCAGTTATTGTCTGTAAATAAGGATGTTGGGAAATTTTTTGTTACCTACCAAGGTGAAGTCCAGCTAGGGACTTTGTCAGTAAGAGTCATCTTTTATACTGAGTTTGGCTTGTGAAAAGAGATGTAAGATGTGTTACCTGATTAAAGAGCAAATTTATTCTTGACAGGTAGGCTACCTAAGATTAGAAAGTCAGATTTATTTTCCTTCTCTTCACATGTCATCTCTTCCTAACTTTTGTGAAGGTTAGAATTGAGGTGTAATTAGCTATTTTATCTTATAATAACCCACAGATAAATCTAACAAATTTCTCAACTCCTGTACCAGTAGTCCATGTTGCTGCTATCTAGCCCTATCCTACTTTTATGCCTCATGGACAGAGGAGAAATACCAGAAACTCCAGTAGTTAATGAACTTTTTCCACTTTTCAGTGGAAAAAAACACATATCTGATTTAATTTATGTTTCCATAACACTCTTCTGTTCTTCTGTAATTGCATATATCATTTAATAGGGAATTTGAGCCATTATCTGGGACTATGTAGGTAGTGTCTTTAGAGATGCATGAATAGAAATAGTACCTTTCTTCAACCAGATTGGTTTGCTTAGCGAAAGACATGTGCAAGTTCACTATAAAAGGTACACCTGGTCCTTTGAACCAGAGCCTTTCTTGTCCTAGTGGTATCTTTAGTGTACCTTGCATACAGTAGCATATGAAGAGGGGTTGGAGCATGCTTCATCTCTTGGTTCCTCTCAGCTGTCTTGTTCTTGCATTGAGCACACTGTAGAAGTGCACATACTGATATTACATATTATATACTTCATACTTCATATTACAGAAGACCCAGTCTCGTATCCTTTGGTCATCATAGTGCTCAGCCTTGTTAGTGCCCTGTGTGGTATCACATGACTTACACATTTCATGACGGGCCCCATCTCTTTTTTCCTTTAGCTTGCTTAATATCACAAAATGTGAGACTTGCCTGGATGGAAGTATTTCTGCCCCAGTACCTCCCCAGCAGCTTTTGTTTGGAACTAAATGTGGTATCCAACTCAAGCACTCAAAACCATGAAGAATTAAGAGCAGTTGATTTTTGGAAATTGAATGAGTGCCTTGGTGGTCTTTGTCAGCTGGTGTGGACTTCAGTTTCTGTTATGGCTAATCAAGATAACAGCACAGGAGTGAAGGGGATCTAAAATGATGTTTTAAAGAGGTTCAGTATCCACAGGTGTGCTGTATCGGTGTTGGCAGTAGTTCTTCAATGAATGCTTTCTAAAATGGTGGAATGACTTGATCAGTTGAACATAACTGTCCCCTGACTATGTGTTAGATCTCGGCTTGTCTGGGGAGCCTGCTGTGGTATTCTCAGAATTGGGACTTTCTTTCTGAAGGAACCATTTTACATGTCGGTGTCACAGGATTGTAGATGTTATCCATGTACTGGCACAGCTGTCTATGAAGCCATGCAGTGAAGTGAATTGTGAAATTAATCTGGTGATGAAGTAGCCACTTTCTACCCTATGGTCCCTGAACTGTTACACTATGTGGCCTGCAAAGACAGACAGCAGTGCCAACTCAATAGAGGGTGAGTGGTTAGGAGTATGCACCGAGACTAGACTAAAGCTAATGTTTTTGAGTGCCCCAATTTATCTCTGCTCTTAGTGTATGAATTTGAGGACAGATGTATGTTCATGAGTGTTACCTTTCTATGAACGTTGAGCAAAATCCTTTAGAGGGATTTTTTGTCTCAGCATTTCTGCGATGAGGAGGTTCAGAGGTGCTTCAGTTTCTTTGTTACATTCTGTTGGTTAGCAGACTTTAGGAAGACATACTATAACATAGCCACATCACTGTCACTGTTAGTAGGATGGGCATACGCCAAAGAGGTCAGGTTATTTTTGCATTTTTGGGAACACAAATATTTTTCTTCAAGCTACAGAGCAGTCAGGTAGAAGTCTTTCCACAGTTCTCTGTGTGATTTCAGGAGTGTTAAGATAAGGTGTCTGTGCTTGGTAGAGGGTGTAAGCTGGCAGAAGTGTTGGGAATTTCCCACGGTGTCAGTATACATCCAGATAAACACAGGGAGGCAGAAGTTGTTTTTCAAAAATTGAAGGGTTTGTAAAATGTGCTGTTTGCATATACTTTAAAGAACACTTACTCTGTCCTCTATACCTGTGAGTTTCTTTACTGATTATTTTCCTTCGTGGCACTCCTGTGGGAGGGTGTGTGAGGGAGTGTCCTGGAACTGAGAGCAACTGAAGTAATAAGCTGCCAGTATGTCTAGAGATAACACACACACAAACTCAGTAAACAAGAAGTAACTTCCCTTTCTGCAGCACTGAGATTAAAATAGTGATTCTGTTAGCAATTTGAAATAAGTAAATATTGGAGTAGATTTGATTAAGAAGGTTCTACTTTGTTACTGTCAAGTAATATGAAATGCTACTTCAGTTGGTTTTGTACTTCTAAAGTAGCTATACTTTCTAATAGAGAATTTCAGAGTGTGAGCTTGTACTTGTCTTGCTAGTGATTCTCAGCTACCAGCTAACACATCTTTAAAAAAGAGCAGCAAATCAAATAAACCCCATTAAACTTCTGTTACATTAAAAAGGATTTTTTTCAGTCTACTCATCACTTGTCTCTAATCTTTCAGATAATACTTTCCATAAGAGACATAGAAAAAAATTCCCTTTGCCTTTATATTGACTTTCTTATTACTTCTTTTCTTGCACTGTGATGATAGATCAAAACAGAATAATATATATAGTCATTAGGGAGTTAAATAATAACTTGTGTTGTGACATTGTATTTGCAGAAATCTATAGGCCCAATTTATTTAATAGCAATGGTAATGTGTCAAGTATTCTTATGTTCATACAGAAGCCACTGAAGCTTACTCAGCTAAAATCACTTCATATTAATAACTTTTCATCTGTCAAACCAACTGCATTATTTGTTGTGATTCTGTGAAAATACAATACACTGAATTTTGAAAACAAAACAGTCAATGCTAAAAAGAATTTTCAGAGCTATTCTGGAGTATTCCCCCTCTCTAGTGAATCCCATGTGCATTTTTAAAATTCCTTGTTATGGTCTCCCAGTTTGATTACAGTAAAAGCTTTGTGTCTTTCAGGGGTGTGTGGGGTGGGTGAGTGGTAAAATTAAGGAAATGAGGTTGATTTCTGCCCTGCTGCTCTGAAATGTGTTTGGTCCTTTAAAATCATTTGCTTAGTGGAAACACTTGAGTGAACCCAGTTATCTTTGAAGACTGAATGGGAGGTTGGTCATATCACTGCAATAATGAAGAACTTCTTTGTGTGCATTTGCACACTAAGCTTGGGCTGTGAGTTGCTGGTCTATAGCAGATAAACCTCCTAGCCCTTTGTCCTTCGGAGTGCACTGTGCATTTAAGCACTTTGGTAGTGGGATGTCAGTGAACAGTTTGCCCTCACGGAGCACGTAGGCATCATGTTGTATATATTGTGGATGGTGGAGATATTTAAAAACAAATAGTAAAGCTATTGGTGAATAGTAGTTTTCTTTCGGATACAATTTTAAGTGTTGCCTCTCAGCTCTGTTTTTAGCTAGTGTCCTGTTGCTCTGAAACAGAGAAGCAGTGTAAGTACTGCCAGGCACTGGTCTGGTCTTGAAAACTAACATCAGAGTTCAGTGGTTACAGATCACACAGAATCAAGACTTAATAAACATAAAAAGAGTCTACAAACCTTTTAAGCATTAAAATATTTTAAGTCGTCCAGTCAGAAAGATGACAAGAGAACAGTCATTCTATACTGTGATAGTATTTAGATTGGGGAATTAGGCAGTTAAAACTTCCTATGAAGAAAACTTTTCTATGCAACAAAACAGTGTTGAAAGACTACTGAACTGTTAACACATACTCAAAAACTGGTGGTTAGACTGAGGATGATGGAAAAACTATTAAGAATAAATCCCACATGCCTTTGGAGCTGGCAGTATAGGGTGGGAGAAATAATTTTAAAAGTGTTTCACTTGTTAAGAATGGTATGGTGTACTGTCAAACAATTGTCTTGGCTAAGTGATTATGAAAAGGAAGGAAGCCTCTGCTTTAATGTGGTGACTAACTGGTAGTCGTTTTTACTTTTGGTGGTCTTAATGCTCATTGCAGGATGATTGGACTAGATGACCTTTAAAGGTCCTTTCCTACCCAAACTATTCTATGCTTTCTCCCTTAGTTGGTGTATATTCTACTTGCAATTAAAAAAACCCCACAACATTTCTTTTCAGTGTTCATTATAAATCCTTTTTTTTAATAGATCTGCGGAATTGCAGATATAGGCATAGCATGAGTTTCCCAGCTGTGCTTTCTTTTGAAACCTGCATTTCACTGTGTGCTTTTTTAAAAACAAGATCATGTAATCATTGTGGTGTTAATAGTCATTTAATATTAGAGAATGTAGCAGAGCTGAGTCGTACTGATTTTCGACATCTACGCTTTAGAAAGTATTAATAATTACTATTTCAAATATGTGTGAGTTTGCATGTGGGGTGAAAAGAAGGGTGAGCACTTTTGAAGATCATAGGTGTTGAGCTGTCTTGGCAGGAAAAACAAAAGTCCTCCAAGCTGTTTCACAGTAAGTGCGTTCTTGTTAAGAGATGCTTGTTAAAAGCAATGGAAGTGATATCCCAAAGCCTCCCGAACTACCACAAAGAGCCTGGCAGAGCACTGTTGTATGCACTCTGCCATCCAGCGGTGTAAAAAGAAACTGAACAGAAGCCACACTGATAGTAATTACCTATCCTGATATTTAAACTTACCAGAATAGATGCCAGGTAAAGTTACACTGTACGTGTTGAGGTGTTGGGAAGAAAGTATGAATTGTAAGACTTCTCAGGAAATTATGAAGGGCAGTTAAGTTGTTCATCCTGAGTTTCCTTTCAAATCTCCCAGATACTGTTGGTTGCAGAGAATGGGAGTTACCATGGTGCATATGATTACAATAAAAGAAAATCTTATGTTTTTTATTAATGATGAAGAGATTTAATTTAAAGGAATGTTTTGGGTGATGAATAACATAATTTGAGGCCCTAATTATTTCACGGATCTAGTGAGTGACAGGTTGACCAAATATTTATCTTTAAATAGGTTTGTTTATATACTGCTGTGTTTTTATCTTCTCCCTCTGATAATTTTTTTTTTTTGGTTGGCTGGGAGGAATAGTAAACAGATAATAAGGCTATGTTGTGGGGAGTTGAAAATAGAAGTGAGAGATTGAGTTTAATTACACTTGTAACAATCTATTTCTAATTTTGTTTCCTCTAGTTTTTTAGATGTTTTAATTAAAGTCAGGAACAGGCACAACGATGTGGTTCCAACCATGGCACAAGGGGTGATTGAATACAAGGAAAAATATGGCTTTGATCCATTTGTTAGCAGTAACATCCAGTATTTTCTAGATAGATTCTACACCAACCGCATCTCTTTCCGTATGCTTATTAACCAACACAGTAAGTAATTGCTTTTTTACTCCATAGCTTTGTTTCGGTTTTGATTTGTTTTGGTTTTTTTAATACTCATGTCTAATTCCTAATATTCTCTGCTATTATGATTTATTATGATAAAAGATATACTGGCAACTGGTTAATCTGGGGCTTCACAGTTATCAGAATTTAATCCAAAACACCAGTATGCTTTCTTTTAGAACTATCAGGCTCTGTCAGCATGGCTGTCACTTTTTAATGTCATTGGCACAGACAGCTTGCATAGTGATACATGAAGTATTTTTAAAAAGTAGTAGAGTACCTGTATCTTTCTGCTCTCAAATCTCTCAATGTAGTTTGTAGTGCTGACATTTATTTAATAATTAAATGCAAGGATGCCATAAATTTTGAATAGGTTATGCACTATATGTATTTTTATTGTTTTTTCAGCTAGTTAGATAACTTGCCTTCTACAGAAGTTGAGTATTTCTAATTGGGTTTAAATTATATTCTTTGTCTCCCTCTACTTCCTATTGCCTATTTATGAATAAATGCTAGAATTAGTCATCTTTTGTCACTATGTTCTATTTGTTACTAAAACTTACTTTTTAATATTAATATTAGAGTGAAATGAGTTACTTGCACAGCTCCTATTAACTAGTATGTGCAGCCATGCAGAAAGTGATCTGTATAAAGGACAGTCTTGTGGTCACTTTTGGTGTATCTTCTGCCTTTTAACTCTAGAGCTTCATTCTTTGTGCAATATTCTGCTTTTATGAGCTGCTAGAGATTGTAGTATGTTACAGATAATGCAGATGCCAGAGTACTATAGTGTATTTACTACAAGTTGTGTGTCTTTCCAGTAGCCTTTTATGTGACTAACAAATGCCTTGCTATGTGTGTACAAATAACTTTAATGTGGCAAAGCATACAAAATGATATAAATGTGCAGCTTATTCTGTACTTGAACATGGGCAGACAAATGACAGACATAAAACCAAGTTAAGTTAAAAGACTTTCATAGAAGAGTTCTAGCAATAAGTAAAAAAGTTGTCCTAATAGAATTCTTGGGCCAAGTGCTAGCATAATCTGTGCTAGTTCCAAAATATTAAACTTACTTTATTGAACTGCAATGGCTTTTCCTGTGGACACTCATATTTAACTGGCTGAAATGTAAAACTGCTTATAGATGCTTGAAGTTTATTTAACCTTGTACAAATTCTCTACGCTAAACAATTTGAGTCATCCATTTGTGTTGGTAAATATTAATCTTGAAGCATTTATGAAAAAGACAATGGGAAAGCAGAATACAGAAACAGGTTTTTATGTAGTTTTATGTAGTATACATTTCTGTTTCGTTCTGTTTCATACATTATTGAGTTTCTGACAGTGCAGTTCTGCAAGGTGCAGTGTGGCAGTGTATTAGATCACCACAACCAGAATAGGAAAACCTGTCAGATCTTGTCTTTTGCTTACCTATGTTTCATATCAGAGCTAACTCGATAAAATAGCAGAAAATCACTTATGAAAAAAAGCGCAAAACTTTTCAATTTCTGTGCGAGCTAAACTCTCAGTGAAGGATCTGGCACTCACCACCTTGTGCAAAGGAGGGAGTGGGGACCATACCTCTGAGAGTCAGGGAGATAGTTGAGTGAGACCTCTGTGCCTGCTGTGAAATTGCAGTTTAGGTGAGTGTCAAAGGCTTTTAATGTTGTCTTAAAGTTTATCAGTCCTTTTCACTATAACATTTTTGTTGTTGTGAGTTCTTCTGATATAATGGTACGAATGAAGCGTTTTACATTTTAGTTTTGTCTGATTTTTTGATAGTCCACTTTGTAGGTTATCACCTTAATCCTCATATACAACCATTTGTTTTAACTAGTCCTAGCTATAAAAAAAATTAGGGAGGGGATAAAAAAGTCTCCCTAAACAAGGATTCTGGCAATTTGCTAGAGTACCTTTTTAAGAAGTTATGCACTATTCAGATATCATCAGATTTAAACTTTCTGGGCTGCCTCAAGTATAATAGAGAATTTACTGCCATTTCTTTTTCCTTTTAGCTCTTCTTTTTGGTGGAGATATTAATCCTGCTCATCCCAAACATATTGGAAGTATTGATCCTAATTGTAATGTGGCAGAGGTGGTTAAAGGTAAGATGAAGTTAATATTTTTGTTGATTAGAAAACCCTCACAACTTAAAATATACGTAAATATGTTATTGAGATACAAGAGGCTGAAGGTGATTTAAATTCCTCCAATAAAATAAAAAAGAAGAAATAGAAGTTCTGCAGTTGCTCACAACAAAGCCATGAGCTTATTAACACTACATAATGTCTTCATTATTGAGAAGTGAGAAACTTTTGGTATGCTACCAGAACCAAGGAACAATTGAATTTTTTAATAACTTTAATCTGTCCTTTTAAATATCAAATTATCTAAGTGGGTTTTTTAAACTTTATATGTTGTCTTTCCTAAAATACTTAGAAGCAGGTTCTCATGTACTGTTTTTTTATCTGATGCTGGTACTGAAGAAAATTGAGAGGAAGTGAAATTTTCTAATTTGTTTAGTTAGGCCTTTCAGTGAAATGTCCTTAGGTGTACAGATATTCCAGTGAAACTCCTCATTACTATCTGCATCTGATCATATCACAGCCTGTTCTGTTTTAGAAGATGTATATATATTGAAGACACGATGGTTGTACCTGAATCATCTGGCACAGTCTGGTTAGAAATCTTGTTTGCTTAATAAATCCTGTTTGCTTAATGTTGTGAATGTTAGTAAATAGGCATGAGGCAGTGCTGTCTGCTTTTAAGACCTTGTTTACTGAAGGTTCATGCTCTGGGTGTATCTATTTACTAATACAGGCCTTGCTGCAGGAGTGAATTCCACCCTCTATCCTTCAGTGCTGTTTGTGCAGCTGCAAGAGGGGAAAAATGTGTTTATCCTCTTCACTTTCTCTCATCCTTTGGTGAAGTAAGAGGGAAACCTTTCTTATGTCAGACTTTGACCTGCATGAGAGCTTGCTTTGTAATGTAGATGCTTTTTACTGGTATGAAGGTTTCCTGGCTTCTAGCTCTTTTTGGCTCTAAAGCAGCAGCCTTTTCTCAGCAGCTTTCTTCTCTTTTGATTGATCTTACTCCACTTTGTCGTCAACATTGTATATGTTACAGTCATGTTGTTTATTTAGATACTCCTTCTAATAGCTAATAGTAGCTATTTTGATAATAAAATTCATAGTTCCTGCATTGGACAGAGGAGTGCATAGTGTCAGAAGGTGCTCAGTCCAGCTTTCAAGTGAATAGCTAAGATTTTCCACATCTTAAGAAATAATCACTAACAAAACAAGGGCATTGTAAACAGTATCCAGTGTTGTCTTTCAAAGAAACAAGATGTCCTTAATGACAGAGCCTGTCTAGAGTCAAGGTGATTGAGGCCATTTCCTTGTAGAGTTGGTGAGGGGTTTATTTACATTCTGTACACTGTGCTGGCTCCAAAATGTTCTGGTTCACAGGCAGCATTCTGAGCAATTTGTCAGCTAAGATGTTGATTTTGGCACTGTGTGTGGCAGCTACAACTCTATATGCCCTTCAAACATTGAAGAAATGATTTAAATAGCCACTTCTTCAAGCAGCTCCACCAAGTGTTGTGTCTGTAAGTGCCAGTCTCTGTATCTCTCTCACTGTCCTACAGTAAGATTTTTGAGTGGACAGCAAATCCAGGCTTGTTCCTGGTGTTGGATTTTAGATATACTGATAGATCCTTCACTCTTGTTGCTACTTACCTCCAGCCATGACACGAAGTGTGCTTTGAACTTTGCAGTCTTTTTTACAGTCTTAGGATGCTGCTAAAGGGTTGGCTTTTAGAGGAAGGTAAAATGTAAGACTGCACTCAGACTCTGTTTGACACAGTTTTGCTTGGGGCTGGCTGGGTGTTTTACTGGATCATGTAGCGATAGTGCCTTCCTGTTCATCTCAAGGGTATGCTAAGGTGGCTGCTACTTGAAAATAAATGAGAGTTCTACATTAAATTTAGAGAGGCTAAATGGATTTATTCAGAGCCTCTTCGTTCTCTCAAGACTTGTTGTGCCTTGGTCTTCTCCACATCTGTGTATTTGAGGGCTTTTGGCTTATTCCCACACAGTTATTGATCTGCTTTTTAGAGTCCTTGAAGATTTTCTCTGCAATAAGAATCCATCTTCTGCCCCTGAATCCATATCTAATTTTCACTTCTATGATAGGGAAACACCTTGAAAAGTGCTAACATATTCTCCATCTTGATGGCCTTATGGTCATACTAGCTACATTGCTATCTTCAGCTTTTGATGACTGAGTCAAGATTGTGGCTGTGCTTATGACCCTTTTTTCTAAAGCACAGGATTACTCCCAAAGCCATCAGAAGTTTTGCAATGACCTTAGAATACTGTCTAAGTGTAGGTATTCCTGCATCTTTTTTCCCTAAGTTATGCATATTCCAGGCTGAGGTGCTCTGTACAGCTTGGATATTAATGGGATTTTGATCTTTTCACTAGGACATGTTTTAATCTGTTAATGATGGGAACCTTTTAGAACGTTTTTGGAGCTGACCATCTTGAAACAAAAGATGCCTACCAGATAGCTGATTTTGAAAGACATTCCTGGGACTTGATCAAGAACCTTTCTGGTGTTGATTAGCTCCATTTTACTAGACCTCAAGCAGTATTTGTGTCAGCCTTGTGTGATATGTCCAGCCTTGCAGACATCAGAGTAAAGGAAAGAATTTTTTTTCAGATAACAGGACACATTATAGATGATTTTTGTAGGCATCTTGAAGGAGAACAACTATAGGTCACCATCCCTTTCTGGGGACTAGTGATTTTACTTTCTTTGTGCTTGTCATATAGCTCTGAGTCTTGGCAGGGACTTTTCTTTTGTAGTGTCACTTTGGACAGGAGGAAGAAGGTACATGTAAGGTGAGGTCAAATGCAATTGTTATGGTGTCTTAGAAAATTTCTTTCTCTGTAGAACTGCTCATCTGTTCGTGTGCTTGTTCTTAACCCATACTTATTACAAGGAAGCCACTTTCATTAAGGCAGATTAAACAATGTAGTTAGAACATCTTTGAATTTGTGGTTTCTCTTTAAGCTAACACTTGCTGCTTGTTTCTAAAATATTTTTGCAAATGAGGTGCCAGTGAATATTTAGAATCCCTAAGAAATCTTTCAAATAAAAGATGAGTTAAACTTTCTTGCTGTATTTTGACAGTACATAAAGCCTGATTTGCATTATGGGGAGTGTCTTCTGTTTTGTTTGTTCAGTAGGAAAGAATGATGAAGATTCCAGCTTTCCCCCAAAAGACCTTGAAAAACAAGTGTCATAAACAGTATTGTGTTTGGAAAAAAATGAATTTATGGTTGCAATGTCATCCTTTTTTATTTGAGATGGAAAGAACAAGTGTTAAATTGTGATTGGGACATGGGAAATAACTAGATATTATGGTCACCCTAAGATTATATCCTTCTGGTTTTCAGGGCCTGAACAAAGATGAAAAATAGCTTGTCTCTAGTAATGTGCTTTTGTTTGTGGAGCTTGAAACAGAATTTGCCCTTTCTTGACAAATGGGCTAGAAGTATACAGAGAAAAAGGAATTAGAATGGATACCAGTTTCACACTTGTAAACTAGTTAGGAAAATGAGTGTTCTGCTTGTAGTCTTTCACATACAGGATGAACTTTGCTAGTCATCTCTAGATGATTTTGATAAATCAGTGTTCTTCTGTTGTTTTGTAGATGCTTATGAAACAGCTAAGATGTTATGTGAACAGTACTATCTGGTGGCACCTGATCTGGAAGTTGAAGAATTCAATGGTAATTGTGAAATTTAATTTAATTTGTGATGTATGTAAGAAAAAGCACTTCTAATATCTGTGACTTCTAGTTTTGTTAATTGTAAGTTATTTTGAACTCTGCAGTCCTGTATGCAGAATTACTTTTCTTATGTGTCTACGTGAGCATCTGAGCTATAGTTTATCATCATGACACGTTTACTTCTTGGTGCTGAATGCAGAGTGCTATCTGCTGAATTCACTATCACTTTAAGGAAATGAAGTGTTCAAGAATCCTCATAGCTGGGAAGGAAACACGCCTGCCTTCTAACTAATCTTTTAATTATTTGTTTCATTTTGAAGTATGCTTGTGAATTCCACTGTCAGTCTCTGCACCAGTGGTGAGCTCTTCTGTGTAAGATGGCAGAGTTAGAAATTGTTTTACATAGTCTATGCTTTAAGTCCCATCATAAACTTCTCACATGAAAATGTGTTTCAAGTTGATTGCAAAGATGAAAATTGGATGCTCTGAAACTGATGAGACAGTCCTTGTCAGTGTATTGACTGATTTTTGTTCGTAATTTCTATTGACAAAAGGTAGACTTTTTAAAGTTAAATAAGTTGTTTTGAGTTATCCTCTCAGAAATTTTGGACAGCTGTCCAAAGATAAGACTGTGATGTTTCCAAACTTCAGCAGAAGAATTGCAAAAGTCTCAGAAATAGGTAACACTCAAAATGGAAAGACTGATACATGGGAATGTACATTGCTCAAAGTACAATTTAATATTGTAGAAATATTTCTGTACACAAAGTGATATTGTCAACACTAATGCATTACTACTAGCCCCCTCTCCCAAAACCAAAGGACCCAACCTTCCTCCTTCCAAACCAGTTATTTTAGAGCTAAAAGTACTGAGTGCTGCAGTAGAGGAACGAATGCAAAATTAATTTGAAGGCCTAAGTAAAAAGATCCAACAGTAGAGAAAACAAGTTGCTGGATCTTGTAAAAAAAAAAAAAAATAATTGAGTAAATAATTACTTGTTTACTTTAAACTATCTTATTATCAATACAAGGAAAGTAACTTTGCAAATTACCTCACAAGAACAACAGCAACAACATGTTTTCTATATGTACTCTGCCTCAGATGAGTATGAATCAGTCTAACTTGGTTTTGGTGATGAATAAGAGAATTGGAGTATGGACTCTGACAAAATTAATATAATAAAACAGCAGGTTGTCTTGCATACAACTATGTGGAGCATCATTTTGGTCTTCTTTTCCTAGGCGTTTTCGCTACTTTGTCTCTTAAAGTAATAGCTGGTATTATTATCGGCCCTCAGTGCCAAAAAGGATGAAGTTGGCTCCAGCCACATTCTGTGTTGTTTGTATCTTCCTGCAATTTATCAAGCAGACATTTAAAGATATTTCTTCAGTCTGAACTGTTGCTGGGTCTGACAAGCTGTGACTGTATAATTTAAAGCCAGTAGATATCTAAATGTTCAGGGATGACTGCATCTTCAGCACCAAAACTGTCCTGGAACGTATTACATTCAGCTGTATTATTTCCTGCTAAATCAGTTAGCACTCTAGCATTCAGAGCTGTGCCAAGCCATACACCTGCTGAAACAACAATAACAGGACAACAGTGGACAAACAATCCAGTTATGATTTGTAGTAAGAAAACAGTGATACTGTTTGAAATAGTTTTGAAAATTTGTATGAATACTTCACATTTTATATGTTTTAATTAACGGAAAATATGTAGTTGTTTTTAGAATATTTAAACAGTGAATTTTTCAGTTTAAGAATCCTTTTGTGCAATAAGCATTATGTTTAAATATCGTGTGTGTTAAGAAAAACAAAGTTTCCCACTTAAGTGGGGAAGTCCTCTTAATTAACATATGTTGTCAGTACAAAGCCAACCACTGCTTAGTGAAGTTCCATATCTAAACAAAGTCTGTTGACATAGATGTCTTTGAAAATCATCATTAAAATGCATTATTTCAGGTGATACCAGTAACTGAAATTTATGTTTTTACTTCATGGAGCTAATCTTGAACTTAGAAAATTAGAACATGCTTACATACTTGTCTTTGCCTACAGCTTCATGTTGTTCCTGTAAATAGAAATGCTACAAAATACTGCTTTGAATAAATTTTTTTCTTTTTCTTTTAGCTAAAGCTCCAAACAAGCCTATTCAAGTAGTCTATGTACCTTCTCATTTGTTTCATATGTTATTTGAATTATTCAAGGTAGGTTGCACTCGTTAATATTTGGAAGGATTTTGTGAACTTACTTTACTGTTGAAATAGATTCTTTTCAGTTACAGCTCTTAAAAGTTATTTCAGTTTTCCTTTCTTAAGGTTATTCTTAAGTGAAAAGGGTTTGAAACTGTTAAAAGCTAGGCTTACAGCCCTCTTACACACGTGTACTTAAAACTTCTATGTTTTTCCCACTTCTCTTGTGCTTTTGCAGCTCATTAACTTAAAACACTTGTGATAGTCTATTTTGCAGTGATGATCTATTCATTACCTTCCAGTTTTCATAAATTTGTTTCTTTTTCGAATATTTGATGACTGGTTAGGATCAGTGTCTTTTTTTAATTGTGAAAACAGCTCATATGTCTTTGAAAAGTGTAAATGAGATGCTTTGTTTAGGTTTTATTTGTGTTTTCTGAATAATTGGAAGAACAGTGAAAATGAAACATCAGAGCTATTGTATGCTTTTGAGTAAGATGGGTGATCTCTAGGTGGTGCCATTGAACACTAGAAATTCAGGGGAAAAAATGCATTTGGTCAGAGAAGTTTTTCCTAAATAATGGCATTTTGGGCTTGATTTCTGGCATTTGTCTATGTTCACTTAAATATTTCCCTATTTTTCCATTTGTAGCATTAGTTCTAGGGCAGAACAGGTGAGAATTTTTACAGTACTATGTTTTGGTACAAGTCTTGGAACGGTATGAAACCCGTAAGTTGTAGCTGTAAGTAATGGTAATCTGTGTCAGACAGCAGTGGACACTCTGTTAATAGATATGATGAAGTCAGATTGATAGATAGTAACTTAACTACTATGTGACCCAGGCTGAGAAAATCAAAGCTTGTTCTCTGTGGTGAAAATCACTCTTGGTGTTCTGCAAGATAGAAGTGAAGGACGAAGAAAGGAATATATATATAAGGATCATCCCTTATATATAAATTGCAAGATTTCATACAGGAAAAAAAAATCTTGCTTTATATTCTCTGACTCTATATCAAAGAGATAAAAGTATGTATAGTGGAGTGGAGTTCTGGAATTTGTTTTGAATACAGCCTTTTTGATCTTGTGTAGAAATGTAGGACAAAGTATCTATATTCAGCAAAATAAATGCAAGTTCTAAATTGTAACAAAAAGCATATATGGTAAAGTTGGAATCAAAGACACTGTTTTTTCTTAAATCTTCAGAATTCAATGAGAGCTACAGTGGAATTGCATGAAGGTAAGAGAGAAACCTATCCATCGATCAAAACCTTAGTCACTTTGGGAAAAGAAGATCTATCTATTAAGGTAAGTGCCTAAAATTAATATGCAGCTTACAAACCTGCAAAGTTTAAAATAGTATGACTTGTAATTTGAAAAAGCAAATGACTTACTGTATCATTTCTGACACTTGGCTTTATCTTCATCAGGATAGAGTATTTTCAGTTGAAAAGGACCTACAGTGATCATTTAGTCCATCTGTCTGACCACTTCAGGGCTGACCAAAAGTTAAAGCATGTTGTTAAGGGCATTGTCCAAACGCCTCTTGAATGCTGACAGGCATGGGGCATCGACCACCTCTCTAAGAAGCCTGTTTCAGGGTTTGACCACCCCCTCAGTAAAGAAATGCTTCTTAATGTCCATTCTGAACCTCCCCTGACTGATACAGCTTTGAACCATTCCCCCACATCCTGTCACTGGATTCCAGGAAGAAGAGCTCAGCACCTTCCTCTCCACTTCCCTTCCTCAGGAAGCTGTAGAGAGCAGTGAGGTCACCCTTTGGCTCCTTTTTCTCCAAACTAGACAAACTCCAAGTCCTTAAGCTGCTCCTTTAATATTTCTGAAGTGATTTAGGTAATGCTGCTTAAGTTTTGCAGGTTTTTTTCAGAACATAACATTTAAAACTTAACTTTCCATTCCTTAGATAAGTGATCAAGGTGGAGGTGTACCTTTAAGAAAAATAGACAGATTGTTTAACTACATGTACTCAACAGCACCCAGGCCTAGTTTGGAACCCTCGAGAGCTGTGCCTTTGGTAAGCAATTGCCGTATGTATTTAAATGTCCCTTTGCACTATTCTGACTGTACATTTCCCTTCCCTTCAATCTGCTGGATCAGGTTTTTCATTGAAGAAATTGTTTATCATGTGTAATTCTATGCAGGTAAAACATACTGGAAGAAAATGGGTTCTGTTGTCATCAGTCTTTGGAATAGAAAATTGCTTTTCTTTGGTCTTGACATTATATTCTTGGAAACAAACATAAGCAAAACATTTTCAGAGGTTAATGACAGAATTTTTAGTGCTGTATTAGAGAGAAAGTGGATAACCTAAAGAGCTTCTCTTTGGTGTGTAAATTACTGTTTATCTAAGTTTCCTATAATAAATATTTTGAAGAGGTGAGCCACACTGTCAGAATTATAGCACTTGAGAAACACCTCTTGGTAATGCACAAGCTTATATTGAACTTTAAAAATTATTTTTATCTAAGTTAAGGACTGTAAAAACACATTAAAAAAAATCCTAAACCTGCATGTGATGTGAATGCTTTTGGTATATTCCTGTTCAGTTGGAGATATTTCATGTGATATTCCCTTCTCAAACGTATCAGGGTCAGATTTCAAACAAACAAAATTTCCTCATAGTTTCTGCTAAGCAGCGAATTATTTCAGTGTTGAATGCATAGACTAGCAAGCATTGTTTTTTAAATTATTATTTATGAATTATTAAGTTAGTTCATTGTGATAAAAATGATATAGCTACTGTTCCATTTAACTGGCTTTCAATAAGTGGATTGATACCGATACTGTATTCTTGCCTCTTCTTATCTTTACTCTCTATTGCTTCTGATGCAATCCTTTAAAAAAAGTTGATCCTTTAGAAAAATCCTGTAGAAAGTGTTGATTGTTTTGAGAAATTTCCTTTCCCTATTCAGGAACGCTCTCATCTAGTATGTTCTTAAGTGATTGTTTGTTTTCTTTTCCTGTGATACTTCTGTGCTTGAAGTGTCTTCAGTTAGCTAATAAAATGTGGTGCAGAGAGTATGTGACTATTTCTGATACAAATAACAGCGAACTGAGGGTAAAACCAGTTCTGAGTGGTTCAGAGATAATAAATTTCCTTTCGAACTTTTAGCAGAAGGTCTTTATGGTACTGCCTTAATCCACAGTTCATAACACAGGCATGTAAGCATATTGCATTCTTTTCACCAGTGTTTGATGCCACCACGATAGGTGGGAAACCCAGTTCCGTATCTGCATTGACTTGATACTAATCTTTCACAGCTCCTACCTCTACAACACATCTTAGTAATGTTTCAAACTTTTTGCTTTACTCATAGAAAATCTTCTTGAACGGGATGAGTGATAGGGAACAGGCCTTAATTCAAACAAACTTTTCTTTGCCAAGAATGGTAGAATCTTGATTCAGAATCTGCCCTTGTTCTGTCTCACTTTGATCAGCAATTTACTATATCAGCCTACAAGGGTTTCCTGAAACTTGTTCTCACTATAAACTTATACCTTGATTACCAGTTGTATTCACTATTAAAATGTCTCTTCTTTTGTGACTCTCAGATTGTAAAATGTGTTCATTTTAGGATTGACAATTCTTTTTTTCTTTCTGTGCATCTTTAGCAATGCATTCGTGTGTTTATTTCCTCATCTTCAAGACCACTTCCTTTGATTCTATGGCATTTATCATTAGTATTCTTCTACTGTACCCCATTTTCAAACCTCATTTTCCTCTTCAGTCTATATATCACTGTAGTCAGACCTGCAGAATCTGCCCCTCTCTTGTGAACCTGGCAGCTTTTGCCTTGTGAGCCTGATGGATGCCTGTACATGACTGAATGTTGAGAAGAGTTATTAAGCTCTATTATTTATATGTATGCGGAGAAGGAAAAACAGTCAAGAACTGGGATTCTGTGGCATATCTTTCTACTTTTCACTTAGCAGTCAAGCTTGACACATTACGTGTTGTGGCCCAGATTCAGTTTTAAAAACAATTACACTTTACTTTGTATGTCAGCCTAGAAATTAAATTCCTTCAACAGAAAGGTTCTGCATAAATCCTCTTCGAAGCTTGTATAGAGGGAGAATTCCTTTATTGCTTCATGTCAAAGACCAAGCCACTTAGGAATTATGGTGTTCCAGAAGGTAGGTAGGTCTGTGCTTGTGTCATTCTTGACTTCAGAATATTCTAAATCAAATTGCAGTGCAGTGTAGATAGATGTATTTTTCTGTTCTAACACTCTCTCCCCTTGTTATATGATCTCCTGTCTAGTTTATGAAACATTCATGGACTTGGAGAGGGGGAAGAGAGGGATGTCTTTGTTAATAGGTGAAAATACTTTCTTGGTGTCATTGCAAATGTTGTTTAAAAACTGCTGAGAAACCTTGTTACCATGGCAGCATTTGGATTCTAGCAGGGCTTGTGTTCATCTGTACTGCTATACACATAGTGGAAACGTTAGAAACACATGGTAATGTTTAATGATAATTAGGTTTTCTTAGAGAATTTAATGATGATTCTCTCTGGCAGCATTTGTTTATAGTAGGAGAAACATGGCTTAAATGAGGTTTAATTAAACCTGTAGACACTAATAACACAGAAATCTAATAATTTCCTTTTTGTATAATGCATACCGTAATATCTAATGGGAAACTGGCTCTAAAAGGTTTTGCTTTCTCAAGGCAGATGTGCCATCATTAACTATATTCTGTCCTCTAGGTCAAGCAAAGACCTATGTAGTAATTGCTTCTTGTTAATGGTCTTTTGCAAAATAGACCTTTTTCAGGGTCTTGCTTTAAGGTACTTGTCTGGGATCTGTTGTCTTCATATTTCTTGTGAGCTACCTGTTTTGGAAAATACCCTGAAGACAATGTAGAAAAGAGACTGACAGGAAACTTTTGGAAGAGAGCAGCATGAAATAATTATGTGGGCTAGCATAAAAATATTTTCCAGGTAGGATCAGGTGACAAACAGAAGTTAGGCATGGGTTTTAAGGAGGTGTAATTCTGGAGAGAGTTTTCAGAATTGCTTGAGACTGCACTTTATTGGAGTTATTCCTGGGGGTATGTACTACCTACAACCTGCCTTTCAGTTGCTGTGCTTTTTCATTTCTGTTATGTGTTTATCATCTGTTCTTCAGAAAAGATGCAAGTCAGCTTTTGGATTTTTTTTTTTTTTAGTTCTAAGTCAAATAACTTCATTTTTTTAGAAGTTAAGAAAAAAATGCATCTAGTTTCAAGACCAGATGTTTGAAAGTGATGCATGTGTCTCTAATGGGTGTCTTTGAGAATTAAGTTTTTAAAGCATACTGTTGTTTGAAAAAGTGCAGCTAAGCAACTGTTTTAACTCTGGAAATACACACTAATAACTATGACAAGCGGTGTGAGTAGAAAGAGCATCTTTGGCATTTCAGTTTCTCATTTTGCTCAGAATTTAACCAATTTAAGATAACTAAATTTAGACTTCCGTAAAAACAAAGCAAAGTATTTCTTGTAGAAATAGTAGATGACAGCAAGAGAATTTGTGATGAATACTGTTCTTTAATGTTCAACCCTCCCTCAAGGGATTTCTTGTGAGGTGATACCATTTATTAGCTGTATATAATGCTTGCAAGTCCTTCTTAGCCTTCTCTTTGTTGTATCATTTTGGGACTTTAAGATTCAGGGCATGATTCTCAGTTATCTGTCAAGTTGCCTTTGTAGGAGTATTGTAGTGGAATGAGTTTATTGGTTTTCCAAAATTTTAGGTGTCGTAATTCTTCTTGTAATCCACCCTTATAGAAAGTTGTATAACTCCATTGCATTGTATATCCGCCTTCCATTGCATTGTATATCCGCCTTCCATTGCATTGTATGTCTGTCTTGACAAATGCTTGTAGGTCTGGAATCCTTCCTTTATTGCTCTGAAGAGTCCTGAAAAATTCAGGCGGTGTGGTTTCAGGTGAATAATCAACCACTGTGATTCTCAGCAGATAGTCATCTGAAAAACTTGATGTGTAGACCAAAATCTTACTCCCTAGCTCAGTGAGGGAGACTTGGGTTTTTTTATAATTTTTTATGACAAGAATAGGTTGGAAAAGGTATCAAGCGTTGACCTTGTTGCAGCTATGGTTATGAATATTAGTGTTGTAAATTTAAAATCTAAAATTTTTACCTGTCAAGTCTATTATGCTTTGAAAATTCTATGATCTGTACAGGGTCTTAGTCCTCAGAGATCATTCAGTGCTGTGGAATCCTGGTTTCTTGTTAGATAGGTAAATAGCAAGGATTATTAGCATTGTATCGCTTTGTATGAAGTCATCTGCAGTAGTCTTCTGATCTCTGTTGCAGTATGGCATCAGCAATCACTTAGTGCTGTGACCTAGATGAAGTGAACAGAGTTGTGTCTTTCTTCTGTAGTCTCCTAAGTGTGGAGACATTTGAGAATAATAATCCTAGGCTTAGGGGAGAAAAAACGTCCTGTCAAAAATCTGATTTTTACCAAATATAGAAAGGAATGTTATAGCAGTGGTAATCATAGTGAGGAAAAAGTAGAGAGCATCCGTTCTTTGGTGATTGGAGTCCGCATGTACTGTATGTTATACCTCCATACCTTTTGGAGAAAGTGCAGAATGGGCAGGGTAGTCCTATTCCTCTGATATTTTTCCCCTTTCTGGACTTAAACTAAAAAAATTATGCCTGGGAAAAAAGCACATTTCTCAAAAAGCTGAATACCAGCTTAGTGTAGGCTGAGTAATAAAGGAAAGCTTGAAAAGTAATTTGATGCAAATCTAATATTTAGGTATCTCCCGTATTATAAATAATTGCAGTGATCTGTTGCTTTTTTTAAAACTTTCCATCATGTTTTTCCTTTTGTTTTCTTGTTTCTGTAGGCTGGTTTTGGCTATGGCTTGCCAATTTCTCGGCTGTATGCTAGGTACTTTCAAGGTGACCTTAAACTCTACTCAATGGAAGGCGTTGGTTCAGATGCTGTAATTTATTTGAAGGTATGAATTTGATCCTTTTATAGCTAGTAATGCGTTGCAGTTTGTTTATACCAGGCTGAATAACTGAACTTTCTCTCTTCAACTTGTTTTCAAATTTGTAATTGCTATCTTAGTTATATTTTATCAAAATCAGTTACACAGAATCCTAAAATCCAAGGTTATAAATATTAATCTGGCACGAATACTAGTTAGTTTGCTTTGATTTTTTTTTTTTTTTCAGTCCGCTGTGTTGGATCTTTTAATTTTCTTAATCTGTTCCCAGTGCTGCATTTTCAAAGAAGTGTGTGATGAGAGAGAGTTTTGGTTAATATTTTTCGATTCTAAAAGTTTTGACCACAATAAAACTGAGAAGACTATTGACTAACTCCTGACTAATATATATATATTTTTTTTATTCCATGCAGTTCTTGACCTTTGTGCAATAGGCTGTATTGATCATGTTGTCATTTTTCTGGGAGATCCCAGGCTACTCAGGGGCTTAAGGCTGAAACTAGGTGCTTGAATTTCATCGGGAAATTGAAAAGAATGTAGCATGTAGCTCATGTGCAGGCCATTGACAGCGCTGTCACTGTGCCAAGGCATTGTATGTAGGGAGTGAGTTGTGGAATCCTGTGCTAACGTCTGTCTCTGGTGCGTTTAATCCTGTGCATGTATGTGTGGAGGAAAAAGGTATGGGCTTCCTCAGAGGAAAAAGGCATGGTAATGAACTGGATTAGATCAGTGCTCACAAATCAGTGTGCTGGCAGGGTCCAAGATGGTTGAAGTGAAATTTTTCTGTCTTTGTATCCCTGGAAAGAAGGGAAGTATTTTAAAGTGCTAGTACTTTGACTGTGACTAGAGTGATTAGTCACAGCTAAACTACTTTCAAAATAGTATTGTGACATGTTAACACTTGGATAATTGAGACACTTGTTCAATACAGAGACGCTTGTTCAATACAGAAGTTTGTAACTGTAAAACTCCCCAGAGTATCATCTTGCTCTTGGTATCTCTAATGATAATTTCCATTGCTTTTGTTTTTCCATAGGCCCTTTCAAGTGAATCATTTGAAAGACTTCCTGTTTTTAATAAGTCAGCATGGCGACACTACAAGACCACACCTGAAGCAGATGACTGGAGCAATCCTAGCAGTGAACCAAGGGATGCTTCTAAATATAAAGCTAATCGATAATTTGCCACCTTTTGTCTCTGTTAGAGATGACCTCTGCGTTCAGTATAAAGTCTCTGCTTTGTTCCAAAATCCTTCAAACCACAATAGCTAATTGTCTCCAAACAAAGACCTAATCAGGGCATTGAAAAATACTAAGAACAAAGTGATGATTGGGACTTAAAGGAAGGCACTAAGCACGTTTGGTATGTGAATCCTGTCTACTTCACCAGAATATGCTTGGTTCCTTCAGTCATGCATTGACAAAAGGGATTGCACTGTGATTGCACTTACGAATAAAATGTTGTAACAAAAAGATACTATTTGAACTGCCAATTTTTATTCCAATATAAGGATTGGCAAAGATGTGCAGAATCCCTTTAAAATGGTGAATAGTATCTTGCACAGCAATATGGCGTAAGAGAAAACTTCTAATGCAGTTAAACATACGCTCTGAAAATCCACTCTTTGCTGCATTTTATATTGCACAGTGTCACCTGTTACAGAAAATCCCTTTGAGCTCTTCAGATCTTTTATCTAATGAGCTTATAAATATGTAGTTCTGCAAAGGATTGTGCAGCTTTAAACTGATGCTTTTCCCAGTTTCCCAAACCCATTTGTCAAGTGCATACAAAAATTATGTTGTTACAAGACATTGGGACTTCCACTTCTTGGTATGCACCTTAATGATTTCACTAACCCAGAAATGCATTTCTATACATTTTTCCTAGTTTTGAGGAAAGATCATAAGTGGTTAGATCATCTCTCCATCCGGGAAATACTGTCAATACAGGGGCAGGGGGTAATTCCATTTCATGTTTATTGCCTATGATTTGTTGGGGGATGGGGAGGGGAGAGAAATGCTGAAAGGCCGGACAGCCCGTCATACAAATGAATTTGCCTTAAGAGTGTTGGTTGCTTGGAACCTGATTAGTTTAAATCCTGTAAATAGTTTGCAAAGTTATTTATATATTCAATGTCTGACTATAGTCTGGTAATCTGAATTTGTAGTGTATATAAAGATGTTGTACACCAGCTTTTGGAAAGCGTCATTGGTCTAAATACATGAAACTGGAAATATCATAGAAATGGGAGGGACAAAACATAGCTGGTACCTGATTTAAGGGGGGGAGAAAAACAAAGAGAAAAAACCCTAAGTACTTACCCCTTAAATGTGCTGTAAAGGTTATTTCAGATTATTAGGAAACTGTTCTTCACCAAGTCTTTGCCAAATACTGTTTCTGATATTATGGCCTTTCAGAAAGATTTGTGAAATTTAGAAGTTCTGGTGACATCCTAGCCATGGGAATAAAGTAGATGAGTTGTAAGCAACTCTGATGCACCTTCAGTTTCTCTTAGGTATTTAGATATTTTTTTGAAAGGTACTGCAGATTTTAGCATGGAAAAATGAAACTTGTTTACTGAAACTTTAGGGGAACTGTCCCTTTTGTCCTCCTGATATTTATTTTTATAAAGAACTGATCTGTTTGGCAAACAGGGAAAAGTTGAGGAATTCCTAGGTATTTTTTAAAAAATGTTGGTTTGACTTAACAGTAATACTTTGCACTTAGGTAGCACGTTTCGTCAAAGGATTACAAAGTGCTTTGAGCAATAAACTCCATATAGCCCTGTTTCTGAGGAGTCAGAGTCCTTACCTTGCAAACCCTTGCTCTTACCTGTTGCAGTCAGTTCAAGAATTTTTACTTGAATAGTTCACAAGTTTGCAGGGCTTGAGGTTCTGCGGGCTCTACTACACTGTACAGATAAGTAGTGTTGGAGCACCAGGTTGTTTTAAGGCTTTCTCACAGGCATCTCTGCAGAGCGCTGCCATACTGGTCAGAGATGGAAATAACCTGGACGGCTGCTGAAGGCTGTCTGACCCATTAGCTGGGCAGTGGTGCCCTTCTGCGGCCCCTCTGCCCGCAGGTAGGAAGGAGGAGCATGTGGATGGGGCTGTCCTCCTTGTTCCTGAACTGGGCTCATTTGACCCTGGCTAGGGGAGGGTGTAACACGTGGTCTCCAGAGCAATAATTTCCCATGACTGCAGGCACTGCTGCAGAGAAGGCAAATTGCTATTCAAGCAATACAGTGATGCTGCTGGGGTGAAATCAGAGTAATCATTTGACTGAAACACCAGTTGGAAGTCACATCTACTAAAATTTAGTCACTTCTGCTCTCACTCATAACTTCTTACTGTTCTTTAAATTCACTTCAAGTTGTGTATGCTTTCTAGTAATGGCAGAGGAGAGCTTGCTTAAAAATAGAAATTTGTGATGAAACTGCTATTTTCCCAGTTGCGTGTGGTCAGTTTTTCCTAGAACATTACCTAAAACATTCCAAGGAGTAAGTTTGTTTAAGAAGCTGAGTTTCAGCTTTTGTTAGCAATCATATTTTGTGGTAGTAAACCCTGACCTGGTGCTTCTTTTTGACTGTCTCCTTATACATAAAGAGGAGGGGAAACAAAGTTTAAAAAAAGGATGCCTGGCATATTGAACTTGTTTTCATGAAGTGAATATAAACCATGGAAGCAAGTGAATGAAAGCTGAAGATACCATGGAGGATGTTATGGTATATGAGTAATTTCACTCCTTTATTCACAAAAACCTGCTGGCTTTCAGTACTGAAGGGTCTAGTACTTGAAAACTTGAAGTCCCCTGAAATGACACCTATTTTCAAGAACACTGAGCATGTACAGACAGCTCAAAGCAGGAAGACGGAGCACAAAGAATGCATTTTTTTCCATTTCCCAAGGTCTGTTCATGGGCATTATGGTGAACATAAGCAGAAGCAACTTTTCTCCTCTCCAACCTTGTTTAGGCAGCCTGTGCTTTAGTAGTGATGCTGGGTATGCCATAAATCATTCCTCGCTCATTGTCCTCATGCCACATTTCTTCTACATAGGGGTATTAGTCTGAAAACAGTCTTGAGAAACAAAAGCAGCAAAACTTTGATTAGAAGAGAGTTTTTTCAATGGGTATGCCTGCAAAATGAAGGTGGATGGGGTTTTAATATGGCTAGTTTAACTACAGTTACTTCTACCTTTGACAGGAATCTGTTACAACTATTTGTTTTGATATCTTGGGGCTGTTAATTCCTGACTTTCTGATGATATAAAAAGTATATTTCTTTTTTATGGATTTCACATATATGGCCTGCTAATGTTATTGCAACCTGCTTGTCTTGAGTTACAAGACACATAATTAGAAGAAATGCTTTCATTGAAAATGCTTCCTATCTGTTGTGTTTAGTGATTAATAGAAACAAACTGAGCAAGAGATGTTGACTCCTCCATTCTTCCTGAGAATTCACAAACAACTTCTATATGTTTTAGTGTAACAAATGGTTTAACATTTTTGTCCAGTGTGCATTTTTCTGGTGTATGTCTTGAACGTAATCTTATTAATCTCCTGCCTAGTTTAATATTAGTAGATACTGAAGTCTTTCCAACTCTACGTATTTGTGCTCCCTGCTTTTCTAGGCTTTGTTTTGAGACTAACAAGGTGTTTTTCAGAGTCAGCACTTGATGAGAAATATTCAGAAGATAGTGAAATGCTTCTTTTGCAACTCAAATGTGTAGTCTTTGCCTCTGTACTTTACTGTGATGACCTAAGATAGTACTGAGAAACTCTTGGTCCTGCTGCAGTTTGTGCTACCTCCTGGACAGTGTTTCTAGCAGGTCACTTGACACATACTTAAAGAATATGGATATTAATTGTAGTGTTCTTGGAAAACTCGAGCTACTTTTTGGCTGGGTAAACTACACTTGCTGCTCTAACTGGGTAACACACTTTTCCTTGTCCTCAGTGGCATGTAGAATATGCTTTGAAACAGCTGTTCACTTGCTCTAAAAAGTGAGCAAAAAGGATCTTTCAGTGTAGTGCAATCTTCTATTCACCTGCACCCAAACCTAGTATTTAGAGTGAAGTCTTGACCTCATTGATATGGAAGACATATCCCACCCCCACACATACACCCTTTTAATAAGCACTTCTAGATCCATATGTGTTAAGTGCTACAAAGTGCAAAGTGGTCTTGAGTGATATAAATAATTTTGTAGAAAACAGCCTAAATGTTTATTGTTTATCTCTTGAGGATAACCATGTCTGATTGTGTGGTGTTTGGTTTCCTTGCATGTTTCCTCGGTTGCCATATAGATGCTGTAATTTCTAATAGCTCTTCATCTCTTCTCCTGACGTACTCACCTGCCTGTGAATTAATGTATATAAACATGTTTTTGCAGAACTTAAGAGAATATGATGGCACATGACAGAACGATGTATTACTGAGCTCAAAGGTGAGTTTATTCACAGTGAGGAACATGGTTATAAATTGTGTAGCAACTTCAGGGCTGAATCTTGCAAATATTTGCACAAGTAAACAGTGTATGAGAGTAATCTCACTTAAATGAATCTGTTTGCAGGATCAGGATTTACGCTGTTGACATTAATTTAAAACAATGAAGACTTGTGTATCTGAAGTGGCTTTCTAATTACAAATAAATAAAATTTGAAGTTCGTATGCTTTAATTGCAGTACTATGTTGCCTTAAAAGATCTCAGAAATTGGCATAGAGAATTTGTTTCTTAAATCCTGAGATTGATTTATTTAATGTAGGATTGATGTTTGTGATAATTCTAACAGATTGGTATTAATCGATTTATTAAAATTTTCCCTTTGAGTTGGATATTGCCAAGAGGTGCCAGATTGACAGTCCTTTGAAATTCATACCTCTGTAGATCCTTTCAGGCCATGGCGGGGCATGTTTCCAAGGGGGGCACTATCAGTGCTCTCAGCTCTGCAGCAAGGACTGTCCTTCTGTGAGGGACCTGCTAGCTGTTTCACGCTTGCCATCTCTGATGAACTGTTCCCAGTGCTAAACTTGTATTGGGTTGTATCGTGTGAGTTTCTGATGTGGGTGGAGATCAAGTCAGTTTGTTCCCGACACTGGTTGGGGGGCAGAACTCTTACTGGTGAGCTAGCCTCTGTTGCAGCTGGTGTCCAAGAGGGAAAGAAGTCTCATGTTGTCTTTCCCCTGAGGTGGCATCATTTGAATCAACTGAACCTATAGTGGAAGAGAGGGAAGCTAATTTTTCATGAGATTACTTGGTGATGTTTTAAATTTGAGTCTTCTGTAACTTGTGCTGGAATTGATTCTAGTCCAATACCAGTGTTTATAATTTGTATATACTCTATTTTCCTTTTTTCTTTGTTTTGCTAAGAGTAATATGTAAAAGCCACACGGTGACATTGAGGGACTGGTTTGTTTTCACAGACTTGGATCTTAGTTTGTGAAGCAGCCCAAGGTCAACTTCACACATGTCAACAGAGGGACACCCTCCACTGCAGTTGGGAGCTCAGAGTAATTTTAGATAGAAGTGTTTTTCTTTGCCTGTTTTGTCACAAAGCTGTTTGAAATTTTCTGTGGAAGCATATATTTGAGCATTTCCATGTCCGTCACCCTTCACCCCCCTGAGATTTATTATTAAAATCTCACACATAATCTATTTTTTAAGTTGGTTCTAGACCTGTATATACAAATGCAATTGCTTCTGTATTGTATTACTCTGATTTTCAGGTACATTTAATCTGATCCAGTTTATATCAGATTTCCAGGTAGATTAAGACTTTAAAACTTTTAATGTATTTCATAAAATACACTAGTTTTCATTCCAAAGTTACCTTTCAGTGATTCTTGTGGCAAGACTTGATTTGTTTTTAAAAAGATAAAATTACATCCTAACATAGCTGAACCTCACAATTCTTGATTTTGCTATTATGCCAAGGATCTGATACCAAAATATTTACAAAGATGGTTGTATGGAAAACAACTTGATTTGAGCAGAAAAATTGAAACATAAGAATTTTTTTGCTGATTGCAGATCTGAAGATGTCTCTTCCTACAAAATAATGGCACTGCAAAAGCATTTGTGGGAGGCTGGCTTCTTGAAAAACTAATCACTACAGATATTACTCTAGGTCCATCACTTCTGCAAATGTTTTTTTATGTTATTCCTTTCTCTACACAGATAAGCTCCCTGGTTTCTGTAGGTTTGTAGCTTGAGGCAGGAGTGGGGAAGTGAGGGAGTACAGGTGGGAATGTGTACCTGTAGTATTCTGGAAAACTTAATTTTCCAGAACTTAATTTTCTCTTTTGTAGTCTAAGAGAATTGGGTTAACCTAGTGACTTTTGCTTTACTTTTTTAAACTAGTATTCACTGCTCCTTTCTCAGAACACTGAGGTAAGAAAAGTTTGGGCCTTTTACTCAGGACCGATTGGACGTGGCTGTGAGCAACTTGGTCTAGTGGAAGGTGTCCCTGCCCACGGCAGGGAGGTTGGAACTAGGTGATCTTTAAGGTCCCTTCCAACCCAAACCGTTCTGTGATTCTTCCAACTCAAGCTGTTCTATGATTCTTATGATTCTATGGTCTAGAAACGGCTGTTTCTGAATAACTGCCTAAAATAGAAAATCACTGGCAAGAACCCAAGATTTTTCTTTTATCACTTTCATAGGGGAATCCAGAAAGTTAAAGAGCATTAAGTTGAAACAATTATAAATGAAACTTACTTGGTGGCTGGGAATTTGGCCTTTTGAAAATACGAAGTAATATTTTTAAAAAATGAGCTTTGTTTCATATTCTCCAAATGCTTGGTGTTAAGGGAACACACAGGTTTATAAGCAGAAAAGGTATTAGCATTGCCAAACATTGAGCTGAATCAGTTTTGGTGCCATCCATGTGCTATGTGTGTTTCAAACTTCACTAGAATTCAGCTAGACTATTGTGGGTTTGTGAACCATTTTGTTATAGAAGTGTATGGTGGTTTTGCCTTTGGTTTTATAGCCCTTAGTGTTGATCAAGACTTAGTTCATTGATTTAATAATTGATCGGTTTAATATATCGATGCAAGTGACAGAACGGAGTGTTTAACCCCTTGAATGACCACTGTTAGTGTGGTAGCAGCAGCACAGCTTCCCAGCACTTCAGGCTGCTGGTTTGCAGACGTACAGGATTTAGAGGGACCAAATTCAGTGAGACATTGAAGGTAGGGATTGAGCTACCTATCTTGGCAGTGCTGATGCTTCCTTTGAATTGAACAGAGATGAAGCCTACAGTTTTAACACCTCCTAATATTTCTGTGGAGTGTGACATTTCCTTTAACGTTCAGTATTATTAAGGATTGCCTCCAATTCTTCCTTGCTGCTTGGGGTTCTTGATTTCCTGATGTGGAAGCAGCAGAAGCTCCTACAGTGGTTTAGGACCAAAAGTGAGTTATTGGGGAATTCTGAAACTCCAGTATCCGATTGTTCTGGGTATGTCAGCATGGTTTGTCACCACACGTTATTTTCTTAGAGCCTGTGAGCACCTTTTGGGTTTGTGGTTTTTCTGCTATATAAATCTCCCTAAAGCTAAAGTTTCTAGGATTATTCTTGACACCTGAAATATCTAAAATAACACCCCAAGGCGTCTACCTTGAAAT